TACTAAGCTGTTTAGCTTTGATGAATTCTGAAATCTTATAATTTTTGGCTACTTAATTCCTCAGATTCGGGATTGTTTGGTTAAACTCATAGTTTGGTCAAAGAATACTTTCTTCGTAAAGCCAATAAATCGACTTGGAAATGAAAAATGCACCTTGGATTTATTTACGATATGAAGATTACATTATTGATAAAACTTGTCCACGTTAACGGATCGCCAGAGAATTTTTGTAAGTCCAGTTTAGGTAATCGTACTTGTGAGCTTGGATGAGTTTCTGAAACAGAAAACGATTCACTGAACCCGGAAGGGGTTTTTGGTGGTTCTGAGGGGACCAGAGTTTCAATCGTAGCTTGAATGTGAGAGAACATGTCTTCAATAGCATCTTTATCATTGGAAAGAGTCTTATCATCGATCCCTTCATCTTCCAGAACGAAGGCTCGTTGAAGGTTATTTTCAAATTCAATGCGTTTATTTTTTATTTCCAACGCGTAAGCGGATAATTTGTTAAGTTGTAATGGTGTTAGAGGGTCGATTTGAGTTGATAATTCATCCACTGCAGTCTTAAGTTTTTCAAAACGTGATTTAATCAGCGCCGTAAAACGGGTGTTGATTGCAGACTTAAAATCAGATGCCTTAGGAGGCATAGTGAATATGTTATGTGAGCAGTAGATGTATTAATTGTTGGACATGAACACTTATACAATTGTACAATTAAACATTTGTATACTTTTGAGAAAGACAAGACATTCAAAAGTGACTCTTAAATGAATAACTCAAAGCTAGTTGTATTGTTAAATTATTACAATACAAGATATGCCAAAAGGCAGGACATGAGATATCTAATGGTTGTTATGATTGGAACAGCCACGGAGCAGTATAATATTCACAAGGATACAACAAGAGTATAGTGAGGTTCAATGACCAACGAATTGCAATATATTACTGTAGAATAATAAATGCATTAATAACACTAAATGCTATACATATAATAGCTACACAAAGCACTTAGAGAATTGTCGTAAAGACGGATAGAATTAACAGTGTTTATAAATTACATAAATTAGTCACACAAATGGGCAAAGAATAATTAATTTAAAAGGTATAGCTATTTACAAGAAGTTATTACATTGCCATATAGAACAATAACGAATACCGGCCACCGTTACGAAACGGTACAGCTAATCATAAAATATATTTCATAACTTGTGTATGAATATTTAAAGACACAACCAACAAGTGCAAATGACGATTAAAATCTATAATCAAATTCAGTACACATTAATACCTGACAACATAGGTTATAGACATGACAGTGAAAAACTTTATTTTATTACTTATGTAACCAAACGACAGCTGTTGATTTATTATTCCGTAACTGCAAAATAGATAGATAGAGAGAGAGAGAGAGACATTTGACATTTGACATTTCTTTATTTCACCTGCTGTGATTTAGACCACGATGGTCCAATCTTCCATCACAACAGGCACAAAAAACACATTACAATACATTGTTGTGGTTACATTCAATAACATATTTAATACAATGCCGATTTTTATATCAATTCACAAGTTGTTTAATGAAATATTGTAGCTATACTACAACAACAAAATTTTATACAATTTTACAGTGAAAGAAAAAGAAAACCAACAATGTTTAGTATACTATATACAAAAAAAGGAAAACAAATTGTCACAATTCATATTATAAACATATTTATATTGAACATCTTAAAAATTATATCTTTCTAAGAGTTTAGCTTTGAGTCTTTTTGCGAAAATATTGTCACTAATACTATCTTTAACTTCATCATTGAGGGAGAGGTGTTTGGCCGAAGCCCAGCGGTCCCTCCACCACCCCTGGTTTAAGTCAGAGACTTATTCACCAGGCCGCTTTTCTGAAATATCTTCGGATTCCTCTTCCTGCTGTCAGCTTCAATCCATGTCCTTCCAGGCACATTCTGTGCCTAACCAACACCTCTCCCCTCACCTAGTACCCTCTGTACTAGGGTCATCGGATTTTTTTTTCTTTCTTTCCAATCTTCTTAATTTTATCTTTCTTTCCTAACATTTTTCTTTTCAAATTCCAGCCTGTCTTCCTGCATTTTCAAATTCATGCTTTTTCTTCCCTATCCTTCGGCACATTCTGGCAAACTCCAGCGCAGATTCTTTGGTTCTCAAGAAGTTGATCTTCACCCAATCCCATGTCTTTTGTTGGAGGAATTCCCTCATGTCGCTTCTTTCTTCTTCATAGAATGGGCACTCCATCAGTACGTGCTGCGATGTCTCCAGCTCTACGCAATGAGTGCAATGATCGTCATCGACGAGGTTGAAACTTTTCAGCTTTGCCTTGAAGTTGCCGTGTCCGCTGACGAACTGTGTCGTGTAGTGATCGGTTTCCCAATGGACTGTCTTTCTGAACCTCACATCCGGAACGAACGCAAAGGTTTCCCTTCCTTTTGTGCTAGACTCCCACCGTCTCTGCCAGTCAACAAGTGTTTCTTCTCTTCGGATCCTCATGCTATCCTTGATGTCGATACCTTCTTCTTTGTCCCTTCTTCTCTTAATCCTTTCTTCAACCATCAAGTCAAGCGGGATGACCCCGGCAATCACTCGGACAGCTTCGTGGGATATCGTGCTGTAGCCCTTGATCACACCCAACAACAGTTTTCTCTGCAGACTCATCAACTTAGACTTCTCACCTCGTCCCCTCATTCGTTGGTCCCACATCTCACAGCCGTACAGCATCAATGGTTCAAGCGCACCGATGTACAATCTTCTCAAGTTCTCGCATCTCATGCCGTTGTTTGCCTTGGCCAGTCCTTTTAACTTTCCGAATGCCTTCATAGTCTTGTCGATTTCTTGCTCATAATGTCCTGCAAATTTCAATCCACTTCTTACTGCGACTCCTAAGTACTTTGTCTCATTTGAACACCGAATTGTCACGTCTCCCATGTCGACACGGATGAATCTTTCAACCAACCTTCCTTTTAGGAGCACCATCACTGTCTTTTCCCTCGAAAAAGTCATCTTCCTGTCTTCCCCCCACCTAGTGACCAGTTCCAAGGCTCTTGATGCCTTCCTCATGAGATCAGGGCTTGTGTTCGACTTCACCAAAAGCAGTCCGTCATCCGCATAGGCTCTCGCGGAGATACCTTCCTCGAAAGGCAGCCGCAAAAACCCATCGAACAGGATGTTCCACAACAGAGGGCCCACCACAGACCCTTGGGGGCATCCTTTAGTGATGTTGTTGTTCACCTCTACGTTGCCAGCTCTTAGTGTCACGGTTCTGCCTCGGAAGTAGTCCCTTACCAATCGGTAGATGTTGTTCGGACATCTCCATCTCCTCAAAACTCTCAGAATCTCTGGCCACCAGGCGGAGTCGAAGGCTCCAGAAATATCCAGGAACAAGCCTACTACGTACTTTTCATCTGTCTCTTCTACTTCTCTTCTCATATCCAGAAGTGCGTCTACAGTTCCAACGCTTTCCGTGAATCCATATTGCAGTGGATTTGCCCTATTTTCCCTATCCATCCATTCTTTCATCCTTTTCACTATTAATCTTTCGCCTAACTTTCCTAAGACAGGTAAGAGGGTTACTGGCCTGTACGATTTTACCTTACTTGGGTCCTTTTCCTCGCTCTTTAGAAAAACTTTGACGATTCCTTTTTTCCACACATCAGGATACCTACCTTCTCTCAGCATCTTGTTGTACAGGTTCAACAGCGTCCCCTTGATCCTTCCAAACATTCTCTTTACTACTTCGTTCTTTATTCCATCCATTCCCGGCGCTTTCCTATCCTTCAGCAGTGCAACGCATGCATTTAGCTCTCCTTCAGTGAAATCTTCCTCATCTGTTCCAGTGCTTTCATCAGTCATCCTACTTCTGATTCTTTATTGTTCCTCTGTATCCTCCTCTTCCCTATCATCTGGCAGCAATCCTTGTATCATTCTCTCTAGGGTCTCTTGCACTGTCTCCGTCATTGTGCCGTCTTCTTTTTCCAGACTAACCAGCACAGTATCCTTTTTCAGCTTCTCTGCAGCAATCTTATAGACCTTTCCCCACGGGTTGCCCTCTTCCTCCGCAATTAGCTTTTCCCACATCTTCTTCTTTTGCTTCCTGATTCCCCAAACGTAATTCATTTAACTCCTCTGTCCACCAGTACACCTTCTTTGTTCCTACTTTCGCTTTTGGAAACTGCTCCTCCATCAGATTGCACGTCATTTCCGTAATCTTTTCCGCGTGAACTTCCGCTGTAGCCATTTCAATATCCATCGCTTGTATACCTCTTTGTAAGGCTTCATCAAATCTTGCCCAATTTACATTCCTTAAGCAGTATGACCCTTGTCTCTGTTCATTCTCATGTCTCCGATTAATTTGGTCCCTTCGCAATTTCATTGTTATAAGCCTATGATCACTTAGCTTCTCTTCATGAACCATCCAATCCTCTATTCTTCCTGTAAGATCCCTCGTCGTAATCGTCACGTCAATGTTCGATTTTCCTCCCTGCGTGTTCTCAAAAGTCGTCCATCTACTAAATTTGTTCACCACGTGCAGATCCCAAGCAATTACAACATCTTCCACCTTCGACCCTCTCTCATCCGTTGAACCACTGAGCCACAGTCCCGATTTTGCATTTAAATCCCCTCCGCAAACAACTTATTTATTTCCTTTCTTCCTTATTATATCAGCTAACCATGCCAAGTGACCTTCAATGGGTTCCGACGGCCAACAATAAAGACTGATCACGTGCATTGACTTTCCATTCTGCTCTAACCTAACACTAACACACGTTCCACTTGTTTCCTGAGCAACCATTATGGCGCCAATGGTATCATTCATCACAATAACTGCACTCCAAATATCTTCTCTTCCGCTCCTGTCATGAAATACTCTGCAACCAGCTATCTTCACCTTTCTCCCTACCGCGTATGGCTCTTGGACAAGAAGGACATCTAGTTTTTCTTCTATACATCTTCTGAGTGCTTCATCTGTAGCAACTTTACCTCTCCCTAGATTCCATTGCCCAATTATACAATCCATAATCTATTTTTTCATTTTGCCGTCTGACTGCCTTCTCATAGGCCGGACACTTCCTTGACCGAGCTTCATGCTTGCTATTTTCCTTCTTATCTCTTACGCAGTTTATACATCTAACCTTTTCCTTCTTACCCTTGTTGGGGCAGTCCTTATAGTCGTGCTCCCCAGCACAGTGGGAGCAAGCAGGGGTTTCACTCTTACAGTGCTTTGCCACATGTCCAAACTTCTGACACTTAAAACACCTAGCAACATCCACATAGTCTTTCACCCGACAACTTTGCCATTCTACGAAGATCCGCTCTTTCCTTCTAAGCCAGTTCTTCACCCGTACAGAACATTCCACCACAACATGACACCTTTTCCCTGTCGATCTTAAATCCTTATACCTATGTCTTACAGCAAACTCCTGCTTGAAATCCGCCTCAACAATTTGGCTCTCCCCCATGTTTCGGGAGAAAATCTCCTCCTTGACCTCATCTTCCGTCAGTTTAGCACTAACATCGTAAATCATGATGAAAGGTTTTTTCTTCTCCGGACGCTCTACTTTCAACCCTGCCTCTTTCAACGTCTCTTGCTTCATGAGATTTTGCACTCCATCCTCATTTTCTGCTTCAATAATCACACCATTCTTGATATTTATTAGCCTCTTTACTTTCAAGCCGATTTCAGAAGGCCGTACTAACTTTTTCAAGGTTTTAGTCACTTCTTCAGTCTCCAAGGTGTCATGCCGCACTATAATTTGTTTCGGTGCCTGGACTACGGGTCCTTTCATTCCAGTTACCCTTGGAACCATTGGGGTATCTTTCTTCAGCACTGCTGAGTAGCTCACTCCAGCCGCGCCTGGAACAACCTTGTCCTTCAGATTGTCCATTTCATGTCGCACGGTGGAGCTCACGATCTTTAAAAACTCTCTTCGTTCTTCCAACCTCGTTTCAATCCGGACTCTATCCTCTCTTGCCCTAATCAGCTCTTCCTGGAACCGGTTCAAGTACCTTCCAAACTTCTCTGTCTGAGGCTTTGTCACCATTTTCATGATGGTTGGCTGTTTGAACCATCCCTTCATCTTATCCATTACCAAGCTCAAGCAAACTAACGGGTCGTCTTCATCCTCGACCTTTTCTTCCTCATCCGATTCCAAATCCTCAGTCTTCCTGGCTTTCCTCCTTTTCTCTTTCTCCTTTTCCTCAGGGCTTCTATTCCTCTTCTTTTGCTTCTCCGCCTCGGACTCCGACTCCGCCATACTGCTGGTCCCCGATCGATAGCCTCCTCCCAACGCAGACGCGGACCCCCTGGAGCTACTCAACCTCCTCTCCTTCTCGTGTTTTTCCAGGAACTCCTTTTCCGCCGCTATCCTGTCCTCTTCAGCCTTTCTGGCTTCTTCTCTCCTAGCCTCATCCTCCTTCAATGTTCTCGATTGATCAGCCGACATCTTGATTTGCAATTAATGTAAATAAAAAATCTTTTCAAAAGCTTCTCTTTGGTGTAGGTCAAACTGAAACCTGAAAAACTACATACAATTCATTAGTGATGGTTTTTTTGTGTTCCCCGGTTCATAGGAGTATTGCCAATCACTCCTGCGCCGTCCATCGACCGAGGCCCTACATTTCACCAATCAGGCCAAACATCATTGAGGGAGAGAGAGAGAGAGAGAGAGATAATTTGATAATTTGATAATTTGTTTATTTTTCCTGCCACAGTTTGGACCTATGGTCCACTCTTCCACTGTGACAGGCAGAATATTTACAAACATTACAAATCAGTTGTGGTTCTAACTAAAACTTAAAATTGTCCTTTGTTAAAAGCACACTTGCACACATAACTTTGTTTCACTCTTGGTACAAATTTACATTGGTTTTATCATTAACTAACTTAAATATCTTATTAACAATTTGTCTTTTAACTTCTTGCTAAATACTAGCTATCACTAGTTCTTATGTCATTGTCTAACTCATTCATAAGCCTAATAGAAGTAACATGATACGATTTATTATATGTTACAGTACGGTGTATAGGAAATTGAAGTAAGACATTACCAAAACGAGTCTGTCTTTGGTGTACATCTGCTAATCTATTATATTTTTCCATTATATACTCAGGTTTTCCACTTTTAAATACTTTATATGTCAGTCGTAAGATACCATATTCAATCCTCTCCTTAATCTTTAACCAACCCAGTCTATGATAATATTGTGTGACATGATCATCCCACTTTAACCTAAAAATAAACCTAATGCAAGCATTTTGCGCTCTTTGTAATTTTGTAATCAATGTTTCATTCAAGTCACAGAAAGATAAACTAGCATAGTCAAAATAGGGAAATACTAGTGCGGTTACTAATAGCCGTCTAATATCTTCTTGTGGATTAAAACACAATCTTTGCAATTGGTATATACACTGAAAAACTCTTTTACATATGTAATTTACTTGGTCATCCCATGATAACACGTTATTCATCCTTAACCCTAGGTTTACTACACATTGCTCATATTGTAAATCTCTACCATTAATCTGTACATTGGGTATATTGGCTAAACAAATGTTTGAAATCAATCTCGAATTCCCTATTATTATTGGTTTACATTTTACAATATTAAGATTTAAACCATGATCTGAACACCACCTATGTAGTATTGATAAATCAGTATTCATAAAATTTATCATTCTGTTGATTTCATTTAATTGACCATGAATATACATTTGCATATCGTCAGCGTACAACATTACTTTACTAAAACGTATAGGTTCATTAATCCGATTGATGTACAATGAAAATAACAATGCTGAAAGATTTGAACCCTGGGGCACTCCTACTTTATTTACTGCCCAATCTGAAAAAGAACCCCCAAAAGTTTTTATTCTTTGTTTCCTATCATATAAATAAGAACTAAACCAATTCACAGATTGCAAACCAAAATTGTATGATTCAAGGATAGATAGTAAGAGCTGATGTTGCACACAGTCAAAAGCGCGTGTAAAGTCCAACAATACCATCAAAGTAATTTGTTTATTGTCTATAGCTAATCTGATATCATCTGTAACTCTAATCAAAGCTGTTTGCGTACTGTAAGATGGTCGATATCCTGACTGATATTTGAACAATATGTTGCTATCATTTACATACCTACATACTTGCTGGAATACAATCTTATCTAGAATTTTCCCCAAGACACACAATATATTTATGGACCTATAATGTTTACATTCTGTTGGCTCAGTAACTTTAGGCAGAGGAAGAACAAGGGCTTCTTTCCATTTTTCCGGGTAAACACTATTACATAGAGAGTAGTTATAAATATAACATAATACATATTTAATATCTTCAAAAATTATCTTCATAAATTTTAATGGTATACCATCGTTACCTACTGCATTTGAAGAGATATTCATAAGGGTTGTATAGATATCATTAATATTGATTTCACTAAACTTAAAACTTTGATTCTCATTATATTGCTCCCTTAAACTTTTATATCGATTTATCATATCCATGTTCACATTGCTACTCATTCCACAAAAATATCTGTTCAAATTATCAATTGGAATCACAGGATCTGGAAGTTGCTTAGTAGCTTTTCCTACACCCTGATTTTTTAGAACCTTCCATACTTCTTTATTAGATTTACTATTCTGGAAAATATTAACAAAGTGTTGGTGTTTTCCATCTCTAATTAATGTCTTTATTCTATTTCTCAAAGTTTTAAAATTATTCCATACTGTTACATTCTTAGTTCGTATATATTGCTTATAAAGTTTATCCCTTTCTTTCATCATATTTTTAATTTCATTATTTATCCATGGACACGGATTTCTTTTCTTAGAAATGGTTATATTAGGAATATATTTATCAAATAACACATTTAATCTATCATTAAATAAATTTACCTTCTCATTTATATCATTACAAACATATATGTCATCCCACTTTAAACCTGCACATTCAGTTCTTAATTCTTCTACTCTTGTGTTTTTAAAGTCCCGTACAACTATCCTATCTACATTCGATTTTACTTTTACTTTTAAATTTATTTCAAGATACACGATATCATGATACGATAAGCCGGATACAGAGTTTTGACCAAAATGTTTTACTTTATTTCTGTCATTGACAACTATCAGATCCAATAATGAGTCAGAAGTGAGTCTATGATAAGTCGGTTGGAGTGGTATCAAAAACAAGTTTAAATTATTAAGACTATCTTGAAGGACAGTTTTATCGAAAAAGGTTCTGTTATCACTCAAATCAATATTGAAATCACCAGTTACAACAATATTGCTATAAATTGGCATCAAATTAGAAAGTCTATCGAATAATTCCACTAAATAACCTGCTTTTGGTGGGCGGTACACAGCACATAATAAAAGTTTCCACCCTAAGGAAATTTCTAAAAACATATATTCTGTATGTTTTACATAAACATTAGGTCTGTTTGACGTACATATGATTTTATAGTTTAATCCTTTCTTTACATAAACAGCAAGTCCACCTCCTTCTTTGTTAAGCCTGTCGTGTCTTATTATGTTATAATTATTCAGGTCTACTAAAGACGACGACACAGGTGGTTTTAGGAATGTCTCAGATACAACAATTATATCAAATATGTCTTTAGAAAAAATATCAAAAAAAGATTCCCTATGAACCAAAATATTTTCTACGTTAACATGAGCTATTCTTAAATACTTTTTAATCTGTGACTTAGTAGGAAAAATGTCCTCAAATGAAAACATTTTACTTAAACTTGTACTATCCATGATAGTGAAAGGAAAAATATGCATATACTATTTACACCATTATGACAGACCATTCGGGATATGTCTACACAATTTGTTTTTGACACAGCTATTAAGTAGTAGCAAGAGTAAAAAGCAAAAAACCTTTGATTTCATTGAAGATTGTCAATATCAGATTGGCTGTTGATAACAACAACGCTGTCACCCTCGTCCTTCCGCATCAGGATCCGACCGTTGGCCACCCACAGGTACGTGTAGTGCTTCTCTCGCTTTGCAGTCCGTGGGAGAGAGGGGGGGGGGGGGAGAGAGAGAGAGAATTGCAAAGCAGTCAGGACACAGATGATTCACAGACGGTGCGGTGGTGGAACAATAACAACAGAACAGAACAGCTGACTGCTGTGATGGTTGAAAGTTGAGGGCGGGGCTGCGCATACGCAGTAGCTATATACACAACATGAGAGCGTGATGACGTCAACGAACCGGCAACCAACAAGGAACCAATATGGTGGGTCATAAAAAGTTCATAATTAAGAATCACTTCAACATTAGATAATAAATGTATAGAATTTACACGGACACCAAATTACGAAAAGTTATTCCCTAGGACTATTTCAATTTAAATCCGGCTAGGCGGACCAAAATGTTTTTTTATAACTTTAAATTTATTGGTATTTCAAAAGGTAACAAACTTGGGTAACAAACAGGTAAAGGTGTTTTGGTACAAAAGGTAGTTTGTTTAGAAAATAGGAAACTTTGAAAAAAGGGCCACCTTAAAAATTATTGATTACTGTTATTGTGGTTCCAGTTGTTCTGGAACCCGTCCTGAGCCTCTTCGGACTCATCAGAATCATCATCTTCGGACATATCAGAATCATCATCTTCGGACATATCAGAATCATCATCTTAGGAGTCAGCAGAGTGAGTCTCTTCAGAATCAGAAGAGGAGGCCCCTTCTGTTTCATCTGTTGCCTCAGACAAATCGCTAACTGATCCCGCCTCAGTCATATCGCTAACTGCAAGATCATCATCATGTTCTTCATTTGTAGTGGAAGACACTATAGTGTCAAGTCGAGGAGGGCTTGAGTGGCTCTAGCGGACTTCATTCCCAACGTCCTGAGGAGGGTCCTGCGAGGATGAGCATTGCGGTTGAGCTTGCTGTGGTGCAATAGGGTTCTGCGGAGGAGCGTTCTGAGGAGGAGCATAGGGCACCAGGCCATCAGGTACTTCTTCGTCCATGTTGAGAACAGGGTCCTCCTGCTCTGGGTGGTGAATATTGGTATTCCCATGGCATCGCTTAAGCGGCATACCCCTTCCTTCATCACGGGGAGTACCATTATGGTTGCCGTTACTGGCAATCAGTCTTTAGCTCAGCTAACCATAAGTTAGGATAAGGGAAGCCTAGATGACGACAACATGGCCTAGACCCACGCCATGAGCTGGATGAGCTCCGATCTCAAAAAGCTTCACTCGCTCCGCTCAATCAGTCTACTTATTTATTTTGTGGATTTTTTCATATTTTTTTACTTAGTTTTAAAGACATTGTCCATTATTTACAAAGAGAAACATTCAAAGTAAATAATCATGATTAGTTTGTTAAAGACTTTTTTTTACGAGGCAACCTTGACAAGCCTATTTTACTTATTCTACCCCATTTTACAACACTAAAAATCGTAATCTTTCAGATATTTGTTATTCATCTTATTAAGCCTGAAAGGGGTGTGCCGCTAAGCAATGCCAGAGGCATACCAATATACACCACCCAGAGGAGGAGGACCCTGTTCTCAACATGGACGAAGAAGTACCTGATGGTCTGCTGCCCTATGCTCCTCCTCAGAACGCTCCTCCGCAGAACCCTATTGCACCACAGCACGCTCAACCGCAATGCTCATCCTCACAGGACCCTCCTCAGGACGTTGGGAATGAAGTCCGCTAGAGCCACTCAAGCCCTCCCCGACTTGACACTAGTGTCTTCCACTACAAATGAAGAACATGATGATGATCTTGCAGTTAGCGATATGTCTGAGGCGGGAACAGTTAGCGATTTGTCTGAGGCAACAGATGAAGCAGAAGGGGCCCCCTCTTCTGATTCTGAAGAGACTCACTCTGCTGACTTCGAAGATGATGATTCTGATATGTCCGGAGATGATGATTCTGATGAGTCCGAAGAGGCTCAGGACGGGTTCCAGAACAACTGGAACCACAGTAACAGTAATCAATAATTTTTAAGGTGGCCCTTTTTTCAATGTTTCCTATTTTCTAAACAAACTACCTTTTGTACCAAAACACCTTTACCTGTTTGTTACCTTTTGTAATACCAATAAATATAAAGTTATAAAAAAAAAACATTTTGGTCCGCCTAGCCGGATTTAAATTGAAATAGTCCTAGGGAAAAACTTTTCGTAATTTGGTGTCCGTGTAAATTCTAGACATTAATTATCTAATTTTGAAGTGATTCTTAATTATGAACATTTCATGATTCGTCATATTGGTTCCTTGTTGGTTGCCGGTTCGTTGACGTCATCACGCTCTCATTTTGTGTATATAGCTACTGCGTATGCGCAGCCCCGCCCTCACTTTCAACCATCACAGCAGTCAGCTGTTCTGTTCTGTTGTTATTGTTCCACCACCGCACCGTCGGTAAATCACCTGTGTCCGGACTGCTTTGCAATTCACTCTCTCTCTCTCTCTCTCTCTCTCTCTCTCTCTCTCTCTCTCTCTCTCTCTCTCTCTCTCCCCCCTCTCTCTCCCCTCTCTCTCTCCCTCCCTCTCCCACTCTCTCTCTCTATCTATTTTGCAGTTGCAGAATAATAAACCAACAGCTGTCGTTTGTTTACATAAAATAAAGTTTTTCACTGTCATGTCTAAAACCTATGTTGTCAGGTATTAATGTTTACTGAATTTGATTATAGATTTTAATCGTCATTTGCACTTAGTAAATATTTTGAATGTGTCTTTAAATATTCATACACAAGTTATTAAATATATTTAATGATTAGCTGTATACCGTATCGTAAACGGTGGCCGGTATTCGTTATTGTTCTATATGGCAATATAATAACTTCTTGTAAATAGCTATACCTTTTAAACTAATTATTTTTTGCCCATTTGTGTACCGCTCAGTGGCTGTTCCAATCATAACAACCATTAGATATCTCATGTCCTGCCTTTTGGCATATCTTGTATTGTAATGATTTAACAATACAACTCGCTTTGAGTTATTAATTTAAGAGTCACTTTTGAATGTCTTGTCTTTCTTCTAAGTATATAAATGTTTAATTGTACAATTGTATAAGTGTTCATGTCCAATAATTAATACATCTACTGCTCACATAACATATTCACTATGCCTCCTAAGGCATCTGATTTTAAGTCTGCAATTTACACCCGTTCTACGGTACTGATTAAATCACACGTTTTGAAAAACTTTAGACTACAGTAGATGAATTATCAACTCAAATCGACCCTCTAACACCATTACAACTTAACAAATTATCTGCTTACGCGTTGGAAAAAAATAAACTCAGTAAATTTGAAAATAACCTTCAACGAGCCTTCGTTCTAGAAGATGAAGGGATCGATGATAAGACTCTTTCCAATGATCAAGATGCTATTGAAGACATGTTCTCTCACATTCAAGCTACGATTGAAACTTTGGTCCCTTCAGAACCACCAAAAACCCCTTCCGGGTTCAGAGAATCGTTTTGTGTTTCAGATACTCATCCAAGCTCACAAGTACGATTACCTAAACTGGACTTACAAAATTCTCTGGCGATCCGTTAACGTGGACAAGTTTTATCAATCTTTTTGACACTGCAATCCACCGCAATGCTTCATTATCCTTTGTTATGAAATTCAGTATTTACTCTCTGTCTTAAATGAAGAGCCTCTCAATTTAATAAGGACTTTAAATCTCACCCCCTTCTAATTATCTAGACGCCTATGAATTGTTACGCGTTAGATATCACAACAATCGAAGACTGCAATCATTGCATCTTAACCAATTGTTGGACCTGCCAAACATTACGGCAACTTCACTCAAAGGTTTGCACCAATTTGTTAACCTGTTTACGGAACACACGTAAGCTCTTAAGGCATTAAATTGTGACAATAATTTCCTATCGTCCCGCACTCCTTTTGCGTAAAATGGACCAGGAACTACTAAAAAACTTGAATCGTTCCGTTCCAGTCAAACCGAAGATCCAGTTACTCATTCATTACCAGAAATTGGTGAAATAATAAAATTTCGTAACTAAGAATGTTCGCAGGCAGATGATGCTAACATACATAACATGCCATCGGCCCACAGAAGCGTTCAATCACCTTCACCTCACAAAACCATACCAAAAAAGGTGCATTTCCGGTCTGACGTAGGCCTAGCCATGTTAGCTACTTCGAGATCTAATGCTCCCCCCTCTCATAGCTCTCAGACTAAAAATTGAGAGAGAGAGAGAGAGATACTTTATTACATGAGCGTTAAGCTCAGCAATGGTGTCAAAATTACAATAAAACAATAAACATTTATTTTTGACAAAAGTCAAAGTCTCTTCCACAGAGTGCAATGAACTCGTCGATGGTATAGACAGGGTTCTCGATCATCCAGTGTAGCATCCTCTTCTTAAGGGACATGGAGTTTCCATTCTTAATGGTCGAAGGAAGGAGATTAAAAAGCTTGGCCCCGGCGTATGATGGCTTTCTGGAGTATCTTGAAGTGTCATGTGCAGGTAAGTTGTAGTTTCCAGCATTTCTTGTGTAGTGTGGATGTACATCAGCGTTCCTGAGGAGGTTATTTTGACTGCTTGCATAACACAACTACTTCACATATATATATAGTGGCAACAGTTGGAATCTTGAGTGCCTTGAAGGTGTTCCTGCAGCTTTCTCTCCACTGAAGATCTCCGAGAACTCTAATGCTTTTTTCTGCCAGGTGAAATTCTAATTAATGATTGTTCTGCCTATAATAAATGTTTTGTTTGTAACAAAAATGTTTGCAAAATTTACACTTGTGATGTATTTCAAAATAAATTTCCTCGAGACCGACACGCCATTGTTAAAAAAACAAAATCGTTGTTTTTCTAGCTTGGGTGAACATTGCTCCAAAGAATGCCGCGCTCAGTTCACTTGTCGCACATGTAAACAGTGACACCACTCTCTCTTACACCCTTGGGGATAATAATCAAACCTCTCAGATGTCCTTTCGACCTTAAGTCAAAGCACCTCCCGACCACTTCAGGTCCATCCCACACTAATACTGGTGATGTTAAATTCACAACCCCTCTATCTCCGCCACTGTCGCGGATGTAAGCAATTATTCTGCCCAAAATAACTCATGTACGACTTCAGGTAATTATACTGTATTACTCGGCGCCGCCTTGGTCAAGTTGACTTCCCCTCAGGGTATCTCTCATGTGTATCGTGCTCTACTAGATACTGGCAGTATGTGTGATCTGCTCTCAGAACGCGCTGCCAATCTCTTGAATATAAAACGCCAGTCTTCTCAACTTAAAATATCTGGTCTTTCTCAAATGGCTTCCTGTACTAAAGGGTCAACTTACTTGAATCTTGAAACTCTCTCAGGTCAAGTAATAGCCACTAACCACCAATTCCATATTCTTGATAGGATTTCCGTCGACTTACCTCGCACCCTATATCACCAGAAGTGTTAACAACAATCAATAATGTTCTAGCTGATCCTACTTTTCATTTGCCTTGTGGCATTGACGTTCTCATAGGTAGTTTTCTGCTAACCTTCCTCTGGACTCATGAAAGTTACTCCTTTGGCACGCACATGCGTCAGGTTTTGCAATCTCTTATTCTCTCTGTTAGTGATAATTCACTACACTCTTCCCTGCAACGTTTCTGGCAACCGGAGGAACCCCCTCACTCCAGGTTAAGTCACAGGAAGAGCTTCTTTGTGATGAATACTATAAAAAATCACACTATCATGATCAATCAGGTCATTACGTTGTGTGACTTCCGTTCATGACGGACCCCTCCATTTTAGGCCAATCTAGGCCTATTGCTGAAAAGCGCTTCTTGAGCAGAAATTTAAAGCTCAACCCCATTTTTCAAACTTGTATAAGACGTTCATGTCTGAATATCAAACTCTTGGCCATATGACAAAACAAGATTTTGTTAAAGACATACACCCACACTACTTTCTACCTCATCATGGGGTACTGAAGGACTCTAGCACGACCAATTTATGGACAGTGTTTGACGCCAGTAGCAAAACCAGTTCCGGTCACTCTTTAAACGATATTCTTTTGACAGGACGTAAATTACAAACTGACATTTGTGACGCAATTTTGAACATCCGCTCTCATAAAATTGTGTTTTCATGTGACATTCGGCAAATGTACCGCCAAATACAAGTGCACCCTGACGATCAACAGTTTCAACCAATTCTGTGGCGTGACGACCCTTCAAAGGCAATCTCTACGTTTCAACTTACTACCGTCACCATGAACAGCTCCCCCTACTTTGCTATCAAAACTTTATTAGCGGAAAACGAAGGTGATGCCTTCCTTCAGGCTTCTCACTCTCTACGTCATCACACCTACGTGGACGACATTATCACGGGTGCTGACTCCGTTGAGGCTGCTCTTGAACTACAGGATCAACTTATCCAACTTCTACATCGTGGTGGCTTTGAACTTCGCAAGTGGGCCTCCAACTCCTCTGCTCATCTAGAAAAATTTCCTACGGAACATCTAGAGACTCCAAGTTTCCTGCAAGACGCTCAACTTCACCAGTACTCCATCCTAGGTCTCCATTGGTCCCCTGAAGAAGACTGTTTCTGTTACGCTTTCGACCCCCCGTCTGAAAAGCTGACTAAGCGCTCCGTGCTCAGCTTTATTGCCTAACTATATGACCCCTGTGGATTTGTCCCCATTAATCATGGTAGCAAAATACTTCATGCAACTACTATGGACTCAAAGCCTTGATTGGGACGACCCTCTAGATTTTTTTTGGATTCTATCGGCCATTCTGTTGGATTCTATCGAAAAGTGTGGATTCTATCGGCCAGGAGCGTTATCCGCTCGCGCATATTTAAGTGTCTTGTTTGCTTTAAAAAATAAACCAAGAAACAAAATCCCTCTAATGGGTGATTTGCCTGCTCATCTGGGGCGGAGCTAGCGCAAACGTCACCGATAGCGTCGCGGCAACCACCATCTTTTTCAGGGTATCATCAGCTCTTGAAATTAGGCACGCCTTACTTCCTGTGGTGATCACTGACTATGTTATTGCTATATATGGTCAATAATATGACCCTTCTTCTGTCATTCTGTTCGCTGAGCAAAGTCCACTAATTGGCTAAATGTTTTAGTTGGGAAAAATATGAAGGTAGCCTATAGGCCTATTACATAAATAGTGCTATACAAACTAACTTGTTTAAATAAACTGCAATGTTTTATGCTTATTAGGATATTGACAAAATAATATTTATCTTTATGCTAGTCAGCTGTGTATTGTTTTACACCATAGTTGTAAATTATTTTTCTCTTGATTATTTTTCAAAAAAAGCTCGGTTTTTATAGTTAGTTTTTGTTTTTATAGTCATAAATGAATGTGCGTTAGTAATCCGTTATGCTCAGTTACTTTCAGACTTGATATGATGTGTAACGTGGTAACTATTTAGACTTTTGAAATTTCATAACCTGTACCGTTTGATTTGTTTACGTTTATCTATCATTTCTCTTTTGAAATGCCCGACGAAGGTGTGAATTACACCAACTCGCACCTCTCTGACCACAACTACTCCAATACCGAGGGTTCTCTTTCATCTGAAATCATCGATGCTATGATTGATTCTCCTAGCAAGACAAACACGTCAGAAGACGATACAGACAACTGGCAAACGATTCCCAAACGCAGAAACGTTGGAGAAGTTTCTAATAGAAACCAAAAAAAGGCCAAACAAGACATGAACACGCCTATTGAAGTTAGCAACAGTTTTGAAGTATTAAATGTAGATAATGAAGACATGGACTCTAACATCGCAACAGTTTCTAAAAAACCATCAGAACCTAAGCCTCCACCTATTTTTATTCCTGATGTGGGTAATGTGAAGGCAATGATTCAAACATTTGAATCTGTCGTTGACACTACTGCTTTTGCCTACAAATGCATAAATAACAATTCAGTTAAGATTCTTCCAACATCTGCTGATATTTATAGAAGAATAGTGAGAAAACTTAACGAGAGTAATGTCAGCTTCCATACATTTCAGCTTAAACAAGATCGAGCATACAGAGTTGTATTGAAGAATATGCACTATTCAGTTGATACAGAAGAACTAAAAGAAGCACTACGACAGATGGGTCATGAGGTAAGAAACATTTCTAATGTACTTCATTCAACCACCAAACAGCCACTGTCAATGTTCTTTGTTGATTTAGAGCCGAGTTCAAATAACAAAGACATCTTCAATATTCAGTATTTGTTACATGCTAAGATAACTTTTGAACCCCCTTATAGGAAAAGGGAAATTGTTCAATGTAAAAGATGTCAACAATATGGTCACACAAAAACCTACTGTAGGCATCCATTTAGATGTGAACACGATACAGTCAAATGCACTAAAGACAATTCTACTCCTGCAATATGCGCCTTGTGCGGAGGAGATCATCCAGCAAATTACAGGGGATGCATGGTCTTCAAAAATATCCAGAGTCGAACACATCCCCAGGCTCGAGGAAGAACTACCGTACCAAAACAAGCTGAAGTTGCTCAATCATCACATTCTGCTTCTTCTGACAATCTAACACGTCCTGACGTTTCGTATGCAGAGGCAGTTAGCAACTCACGAGTAAGTAACAAAACTAAACCCAGCACAAGTTCTGATAATGTGAATGCACGCACGCCAAGTAATGCTTCTAGTGATGCATCCACAGAAAAGTTAACAAATACAATAACTTCATTCTTTGATCGGTTTGAAAAACTGTTTATGCAACAATCTCAACAAATAGGTTCCTTACTTGACCTACTTACAACTGTTCTTAAAAAGCTCAATTAATGGTGAAAACCTTGAAGATAGCCTTGTGGAATGCTAACGGCTTGGCACAGCGATGCCAAGAATTAAAACTATTCATTGCCAAACATAAGTTGGACATTATTCTTATTTCTGAAACTCACTTTACTGATTTAAACTTTTGTAAAATTCCAAATTTCAGTCTATACAACACTAACCATCCTAGCAATAGAGCTCATGGAGGTTGTGCTATCTTGATTAAAAGTCATATCAAGCACCATGAATTGCCAAAATATCAGTTCGATTTCATCCAAAGTTCATCTGTTGTAGTGGAGTTTGAGACAGGCCCACTTACTATAAGTTCTATTTACTGCCCACCTAGACACAACATTACATGCCAACAGTTTAATGATTTCTTCTGCACTTTAGGCTGTACATTTTTGTCAGGAGGAGACTACAATGCCAAACATCCTACATGGGGCTCCCGTCTGGCAACTCCTAGGGGTCGACAACTATTGCAGTCAATCCAAGAACGGAACCTTGATACTCTATCGACAGGTGAACCAACATATTGGCCCTCTGATCGTCAAAAAATACCAGACCTTCTTGATTTTTTTGTTACAAAAGGTGTATCCCGAGATTTTGTGACAATCGAGCAATCTCTGGACCTTTCCTCAGACCACTCACCTGTAATTTTAACGATCGCTTCAAATGTTATATTCAAACCTATTCCACCACATTTATGCAACAAAAATACAGATTGGAATTATTTTCGTGAATTAATGGATCAAAATTTAAAGATTTCTGTGTGTTTGAAGAGCGAAGAAGATTTGAATCTTGCTGTTGAACATTTCAACAAAACAGACTCCGCTTGGAGAGCAACTCCAGACCAGAATAAACATAATTTAAAATCAGGAATACACTATCCAATTGAAATTAATAGGAAAATTGCAGAAAAACGCCGACTCCGTAGAATATGGCAAAACTCTAGAGACCAGACGGATAAAAGAAATCTAAACAGGGCCACTCAACAACTAAAAAGGTTACTGTTTAAATTAAACAATGACAGATTTCAAGATTTCACATCAAACCTTTCTCCATCTGAAGCTAGTGACTACTCCCTTTGGAAAGTTACAAAAAACTTAAAACGTCCACAAATTTGTATTCCACCTATTCTAAAAGAAGACGGTTCTTGGGCCAAAAACAACATCGAGAAAGCAGATGTATTTGCTTCATACTTCAAGGAAGTGTTCAAGCCATATAATATTAATTCAAATGTTGAGCAAGAAATTTTGGAATTCCTCGATTCTCCAAATCAACTTGATTTACCAATAAAATTGTTCACACCATCTGAAGTAGCTAAAGTAATAAAAGACGATTTAAACGGCAAAAAAGCCCCCGGTTATGATCTGATAACAGGTAAAGTGCTGAAAGAGCTTCCTAGAAAAGGAATAGTTTTCCTTACAGTACTTTTCAATGCAGTTTTACGCCTTGAATACTTCCCAATACAGTGGAAGGTTTCACAAATTGTTGTTATTCCGAAACCTGGTAAACCTTTACATCAAGCATCCTCGTATCGGCCTATATCTCTTCTTCCTGTGGTTTCTAAAGTTTTTGAAAAACTTTTCTTAAAAAGACTCCAAATTATAATTGATGAAAAAGAATTGTTGCCTTCCCATCAGTTTGGATTCCGCCGAAGGCATTCCACCATTGAGCAAGTGCATAGAATAGTGAATGTAATCAAGGAAGATCTTGAAAATAAACGTTTTTGTTCATCTGCTTTTTTGGACGTAGCCCAGGCGTTTGATAAAGTCTGGCACACAGGATTATTGTTCAAAATTAAAACTTTGCTGCCCCATACATACTATGGAGTGTTGAAATCGTATTTGTCCAAACGCTTTTTTCAAATTAAATATCAAGATATAGTTACAGATGTGCATGAAATTGAATCAGGTGTACCACAAGGCAGTGTTCTTGGACCTATTTTGTATATTTTGTTCACTTATGACCTTCCAAGTACTCAGGGTATTACGGTTGCAACATTTGCAGACGACACTGCTTTTTACTTTCTCCCCCTATACCATAGTATATGGAGAAAGTATTGTTTTCGTCAAAATTTTCGAGTTTGAGTTTTGAGTGGATATATTCGTTTTGGGTCCCCCTGAACCCAAAAAAGTGGTTTTCGAAGTGATGTCTGTGTGTGTGTGTGTGTGTGTGTGTGTCTGTGAGTCTGGATGTGTACAGAGCTAGAGACTACACCTGTGGTCCGATTTCGATGAAATTTGGTATGTAGGTTCTAATCTATGGTATCTCCAGGCGTTTTTTTCATTTTTTTGAAATTTTGATTTTTAATGGGGATTTTCCCATAAAAACCCGTAAAAAACCGGAAAAATCAGATTTTCTCAAAAATGACCCGAACGATTTTGATAAAAATTTAGTATGTTGTAGCCCTTTAAATTCTGAACAAAATGGTACAAATCCCATATCTGTAAAAATTACGGTTCAAAAGTTATGGTAAAATATGTTATTTTCCCATAAAAACCCCATAAAATAACAAAAAATAGGATTTTAGAAAAAAATACGTTTTTGATTTAACATAGAATGTTATAGTCCTTACAACTTTGATAGTTTTTTTTAGAAATTTTTATTTGTAATAGGGATTTTCCCATAAAACCCCATAACAAAACGGAAAAATAGGATTTTCCCAAAAATGGCCCGAACGATTTTGATAAAAATTTAGTATGTCATATTCCTTTTTATTCTGAACAAAATGGTACGAATCCCATTTCTGTAAAAATTACGGTTTAAAAGTTATTGTAAATTATGTCATTTTCCCATAAAACCCCCATTAAATAACAGAAAAATCGGATTTTCCCAAAAATGGCCCGAACA